TCGGTGAAAATTTCATGTATCTATGGTAATTTGTTTTAAAATTACATCAAAAACCAAAATCGATTTTGTCGAAAAATTAGTGTGCGTAAAATTTCCTGTTTTCCCCTTAATTTTTAGTTTGTTTTTCTCGATTATTTAGAAAATTATTAAGAATTTTTCACTTTTGATCCCCCAAAGTACCAACTAGATTCACTTTTTGATCGAACGAGGTACTGAAGTCAAAAATCGAAGCACTTTTACTGCCCCAAAACGTGATGACAGACACAAAAAAAAACACATCATGGTAAAATCAATACATTCATCGCTCCGCTCAGAATCTAAAATACAAAAACAATCTCTGGAACATGCAAAATAATTTTTTTTTCAATTCAGTRATATTATACTTACTAATATACAATGCATATAGTGAATCGATATAATTCCAAAATAAATAAAATAACTCAATATGTCAACAAAAATTAATAGAACAAAAAAATTACAGCTCATGTGTCTCTTCTCCAAGTAAATATTATCAATTATTAAAATATTAACCAATTTCCACCAGTTGGAGGGGATGCACGTTTTTACTAACTACCTATATACAATGATTTACTAACACAATAATACTATTATGATTATTCCGAACGCTTCCGGGCGATTACTATTATAATACCGTTCAACTGGAAATACGGCGTGGTCATGATTTCTCCTTCGATTATTCACGAATAATGTAACTCGCGCCTGGAAACCTAGTAAACCGTAAACCCGACGAACGCCGCATAAGCCAAAACATAATACAATGCATTTCGTTCATTGACAAACCTCTGGTGGTAGAATTATACCTGTCACGATCGTAACACCTCTCGGGGGGTCTTGTGTATTCTGTCACAGTGTTCCGTCAAGGAGACGAAGGCAAAGCGTGGTACGTGATTATGCAGGGCGCGGTCAACGTGGAAACATACTCCAAAGGCGTCGTAGAGTCGCTTTACGAGGGCGAAGACTTCGGTGGTTTAGCGTTAATACACAACGTCCCCAGGTATTTGTAAAGCACGCACTTAATATTATTGTAYTGACTATTATTCGATTGCAATAATAATATTATTTCGTGTTGATAACGATTCGTTTGAAATCTAGATCGGCCACCATTACTGTCAAAGAAGACAATACCCATCTGCTGCGTGTAGACAAAGACAGTTACAATAAAATCGTAAGGGACATCGAAACAAATACCGTCAGACTGAAAGAACTCGGTAGTGACGTGTTGGTGCTAGAAAAATCTCCWCGATTACACAAGTAAGACGTTTCRATAAAAACTTAAACTAAAATTCATCATTCGCTTTTTATTACATACGATTGAATTGTAACTAATCATTKCGTTAACACTGATTAAGATACATGATTATTGCTGGAACTCCGCAAAAAATTCTAGAACATCTACTAGAGCACAGACTAAGTAGTACGAATGTCGCTGGCTCCAGAAACGACCCGTGTCTAGACGATTTCTTATTAACGCACATCGTGTTTATGCCTACCAGAACATTAGTGTCGGAACTCAATAAATAATATCCTTTTATAATTGAAAATAATAGTATATTCTGTTAAATATTTKAATCTTTTTCCTTAACGCTTATGTTTACTTATCATATGGAAAACCCATCCCAGGACAGAGAGTACACCATCAACTGTAAAAGAAAAGTAGTACAATTCGTATACAGATGGGTGGTGACCATAAGGCATCCGGTGTTTGAYGACGTCGTCTCAATGTCATTTCTCGAGGTATTTTAAATTTAATTATGTAAATATTGTTTGTATGTTAAAAACAATTATTTTTATTTTTATTAGGAACTGGCCAGTGACGTGGAAGCCGATTGTCAAATGTTGGGTGGCAAGAGTCAAGCTCTTCAAGAGGAAGCTAGCCTAATGCATCATATTATGTCTCGGTTGAGGCGGTATCAAGACGAACGATTGGAAACTTCGGGCTTAAAATGGAAGTTACCACCGGGTGGTCAACCAATTTGCYTGTTTTCAGCAATAAACACTCCGTCAAAAAATAATAGGCCGATCATCCGACCAAACGACGACAGTAAGCTCATAGTATTATAAATGCATATTACTATAACGTTTTAAGTAAACGCCGAACATTGTTCATTAAAGCTATAAATTAAAACATATAATTTTTAACCACATTTTTCGCTAAACATTTCAAATATGAAGCTAATACATATATAATTTAAAATGATTAAATAAAAATAGATCCAATGAAATTTTCATAAAATATTATATTCAATCTAAARTTGTATATTATTTGAAGTGTATTCATTATTCAGTTATTTATTCTGTTTATTTCAGTTATATTCCGAGTGTACTGTGCCGATCATACATTTTGCACATTGCGACTGCCTGTAAATGCCACAGCAGAAACCATCAAAGTGGGAGCGTACGAAAAATGCAGTCTCCGACATCCCGTACAAGATCTGAGAATAGTGGAAGTAAAATCAAATGGAGAAAGGGTACCATTCAGGGACAGCGAACACTCGATACCCACCACTGTGGCACTAAACAGTTGCATATTTCTAACGCCAAAAGATCACATGGATGCATTGGTAATTTAAATAAATTTTTTAGATTGACTTGTACAGAAATAGGCTTATCAAAAARTTGCTTATTAAATTTTACCCAGTAAAAAATAAAAATCTTGTTTACATACATTTATACGCAGTATAGGTAATTGACATATTTTAAGGAATGACATATGAATTTTTAAATCTTCAAAAAGGACTATC